TTGTGGTGATATTTCACAATTTACTGTTTACTGAATAAATGTTATACTTTGTGTACTATCTTTTTCAAACCCATTAATAGCAGAGAAGATATAATTAAATAATTTTAACTACTAACTTTTACATACTGTAAATATATTTATTACGCTCGATGGTAGAACATTTTTTCAGCGGTATATTTTGATATTTCATTTTCACAAACATTGTTTGAAATATTAAATCAGACAACTTACTTTGACATCAATATGCCATCCATGTTTACAATGTTTTATGCTATATATTCTGCTTGTTTTAACTACTTATTTAAAATGAGTTGAAACAACACAATTGTTGAGGTTTTTAAGTACAACTTAATTGTTTTAAATTTGTGTTTGGACAACATGAGTGAATTGAGTGGGACCCTGTGTTTTTATTTATTTATTTTTTTTCAGCGATTTGTGTACATACCTATTTATTTTCAAATTTCATGACTATTGAAAATGCTTCTGAGGATGCATTCAATAATGATGATACTTTAGACCTGATGCTTTAGTAATACTTTTAATTTAAATTACATTAAAAGCATAGACAAAGCACACAGCACTGTTACCTACACCCCAAAAAACAAAAGATTTGTGCTGTTGTTCAAACTACTTATTTAAAATTAGCTGAAACAACACAACTCTTGAGGTTTTTTAGGACAACTTAAGTTACTTTAATTGTTCAATTCAATTAAATAAATAAAAATTATTAAGCTAACTTAGTCGATTTGTGTTTAGACAATGTGAAGGAATTGTTTGGAACCCAGCATTTGTTTACAATGTAAAAACGACCCCAATCCACACACAAACCAGAAAAAAATGACAGTAAAACGCAATACTTCACCTTGTCTGAAAGAAGTGCCATGTTCGGGCTATGGAGAAACAATCAGCGGTAAAAGATCCACAGAGGGAAATGGTGTCTGCTAGTGCAGTGGTGTTCCTCAGTGTGTTCTCTGCTCCGGGACAAAGTTGAAACTGCAGATAAACTCCAGATAAAGAGGTGATTGTTAATGGTCAGAGGGCTTTGACTGACAAGCGAAATCATACATGCAGGAATCTGCCTCCTGTTTATCAAAGGATGATGATGATGAGCTCATCCAAACAAATCAACATGATTACATAAAAAGAGTGACATCACCGTCTAGCTTCTAAATGCAAATTAAACGGAATCCCAGAGCCAGATTTTAATGGCTTCTCTATTTTATTTTGTTTTTCAAAGATGTTTCCTTTGAATAAAAAGAGACTACAGCGAGCATAGTTATACATTTAGCATGGTTGTATCATTTGAGAAATGTGTGAGATCTTTGGCTTGAGCTGATGTTTATAGTCTTCACATTTACATTAGGTCATTTAGCACAGGGGTTTTCAAACTTTTAGGACATACCCCCCAAGTCTGTCCAATTTCACTAGGTTTTATTTTAAGAGTGTTTCAACCAACACAATCTCACTGGAATTCCCAAGTTTTTGATTTAGTGGGTAATTCGTATGAATTCGCACAATCTAATTTGTACAATTTAGTATGATTTGCTCATCCCCCAATGACGGTTGGGTTTAGGGGTGGGGTTAGGTGCCACGCCTCCTTTTTAAAATTGTACATTTTCGTACGACTGAACTCGTTATTGTATATATAAAATTATATATATATTGGAATTTCAAAGGACATAAAAGCGCCCGCAGTTGAAGGATTACCCATATATCGAGCATGTCACTGAACATCTGTGTGAATAGAAAACCTTTAACCTTAACGAAAATCGATCTCAGTTTTATTGCATTGCTTTGTTGGAGATTAAATTGTGTCATTTGTGATTTTTGTTATTATAAAAATGTAACGTTGTGAAGATTTGCAATGTACTGGAGAATGTACTTTTGCAGTTTGGAGATAAACTGAAACTAAACAAGTCTTGGAACTGTGCAATCAGCGCCTGCTTATCCGCTGTTTGTCCCAGCTGTTATCACTAATGTTGGGAACAGCACATTGTTCAGGAGAAGAAAAAAAAAAGTAGAAGGAAAGTGTTACATAACCCGTGCACAGATTCCAGACATGTTTCAGTGATTAATTGTGTTGGCTCGACAAAATCAGCATGCAGGTATTATGCAGACTTGAATATCAACAGCTTTAGAATTACTCAGAAAAAGATTTTCTCAAAGTAATAAACAGTTGTTCCAAATAATACTATGGAAATACACTTAAAAAAAAATTTTTTGTCATTCCAACACAAATCGATTAAGGGCGTACTCACAACTATACAGTTGCCTTCACTCTAAAAAATATTGTTCAGACAAAACAAAAAAAAATTATGCAACAGTTTGCTTTAATATATTGAAGTTACGACAACATCTAACAAAAAAGTGTAGACAACAAACTTTATTATGTTAGCCAAATATTTTCCTCTTCAATCAGAGGCATTTTTACATAGCAAAAACCTCAAATCTATAAGTTGAGTTCTCCAAAAAATGTTGTTTCAGTTAGTTTTTTATTTTGAAAATGAAAACAAATGTTATTAATTACATGCTCATTTTCAAGTTTAAAACCCCAAATAAATTAAGTAGCCGAAATTGTTACATTTTTTGTTTGTTTTCAAATTTACTGTTCATGCTTGTAAGAAATACATTTAACAACAACGTATTTGTTTTTCGCTAGTTTTTTATTTGTATTAAAGGTTTTCATTGTTTTACAAAACTAAAACATGTACTGTCCCATATTATCAGTGTAAAAAAATAACAAAAACATTAGTGAATAGACTTAAAAATACAAAACAACAACAAAGTTATCAACCCAATTTCTTTGGGTTGCTCCAAGTTAAATATTGTTTTAAAGCAACTGACAGTTATATTTAGCTTTAAATTAGCTGCATTTTTAAAATTGATGTAATTATCAATATTTTCCTGTTTTGAAAACTTAATAAAATTATTCTGGCAACTTGAAAGTTTAAATCTAATCAGCATTTTAGATTTTTTCAGTTAAAATAATGTATTAAACTATAGTGGCAACAGACCTCTTGAGTTACTTTTTAGAGTGTTGAACAAGGCCAAAAGCACGCTTACCGTCTCCCCCAATGACCCGCACTCACATTACATTCGGGCCTGGGCACGCTTACGTCATCGATGGTGCGCTGTTCAGTAAGAAGCGCTTTCGCTCAGCACAGTGGAGATTTCTTTAGTTATATTGTTAAAGTGGGTTGATATGCAGTGGCGTGCAGTCTAATATTTCAGCAAACACATCAGCCACTTTTGACGCTTCTAAACATTCATAAAGTCCTCGTGCTGCATTAATTAGGAGGCTTGCTGAAGGTGCAGCTGTCATGCAGTGAGGGGTTTGCGTCTTTAATAATCTATGACAGATTGCGTTCATTAAATAGTAAGAATGATTCATTAATCCATATGAAACTGCCCCTTAAAAGTCTTGTCTCGCTTTCAGTTTTGGGCTTTGGCGCATTTTGCACTCACAAACAAGCGTACTGTGCCAAAGCCCAAGTGAGCTGCGCCTGAGCCCGATTCAGAGCATTCTGATAATGATGTTGTCCCAAAAAATCAAGCAACACATAATTAATAAGAGATGGGTTGCGGCTGGAAGGGCATCTGCTGCGTAAAAACGTGCTGGATAAGTTGGCGGTTCGTTCCGCTGTGGCGACCCCAGATTAATAAAAGCACTAAGCCGTCAAGAAAATGAATGAATGAATGAATGTCTGTATTTATATAGTGTATTTATTGTGTATGGTCATACACCAAAAGCGCTTTACAATCACGAAGGAGTTCTATCCGAAATTGGGTTATTTAGCTTACCCAATTCACCATGTCTTTGGACTGTGGAAGAAACCGGAGCATCTGGAGGAAACCCACGCCAACATGGGGAGAACATGCAAACTACACAAAGAAATGTCAACTGGCCCATCCCAGGGTTCGAACCAATGACCTTCTTGCTGTAAGGCGATTGTGCTAACCACTGTGCCACCATGCCGCCCTAAGCAATATTTTGACTTTATTTAATAAAAAGTGAGAAAACTTGTTGCCTTACAATTTTACAGTAAAATAACTATGTGCACAATTATTAAAAAAACGAAGTATGTGCGCTTAACAGTTCCAAGTTACATTGAGTTTACTCCTTTTTTTGAAGTACTAATTGCTTTTTACAATACATGAGATTTTATTAAATCATTGTACAGAAAAATCCCAGTAAAAAAAAAGGTATCTTAGTAGCCATAATGTCATTATTGCAGGATCACTTGTGTTTAAGAAGTGTTTTATTGTCATTTGGTTTAATTGTGAACACAGGAGATTCATCTGTTCAGACTGGTGGGTCGTGGGAACGTTTTCAGTGGGTCGCGAGGTGTGTGGTCAGAAAACAACAATAGTTTAATTTTATACTTATTTTGACTCTTATTTTGAAATGTGTGCACGATAACCCTACCATTTGACATTTGAAATTTCATTTAATTATAGCAACAAATATGTCGAAGCGCAAGTACGAACCTGAATATGTAAAGTATGGGTTTACACATATTGACGACAAAAAAGACTTAGCATCAGTGTGTCATAAGTAGTGAGGTGCTCTCACAAGAGAGCATGAAACCTTCTAAATTAAAACGACATTTAGAAACCAGACAACATGTTTTATTAACTGTTTAGTTCACGATAACTGATCATTTCCTTACCCTAACCCCTTGTCTACAGTATTTGTTATTTTTACTTTGTAATGTTTCTATAATTTGATACATTTTGTTAAATGGCAGCAATAAAATAGTGTTTATTTGTAAGTCTTGGTGATTTTCTTATGATTTATCTGTCACTACTTGAGTATGTTAACAGATAAATACAAATTCATTTTAATTCCTAAAATTGTATTATAGTTCCTAAAAATTTGGGTCGCGGCTTAAAGACCATGTAAAAATGTGGGTCCCATGGCCAAACCAGTTGAGAACCCCTGCTGTAATATATCCAATATTATATATATATTAGTACAAAATTTTACATTTATGAATAAAATAAGCCACAGAAAGTTAACAAATTTTCAAGTTTTCAAATTTTAGTCTGATTTAATGCATGGCCTATTGAAATAACTACAATATAAAACAAACCGGAAATGAAATAAAATGAATGAAAACTTTAGACATATTGAACAAAACAGCATAAACACAACAACATTATTAAAACTTTAAAAAAGAAATCAATAAAAAAAAATATTTAAAAAAATGTTTTAAATCTCTAAATGTTCATTAATTCATTCATTTTTCTTCGGCTTAAGCTGCGGTCACACTACAGTTTGTGCGTGTGAAATTCATGTCGTACGGCGCTGCGAAAAGGGGCGGGATTAAACAAGATGATGAGACATTTACAAAAGCGAGCAATTGCTCCATGTTTTAAATTTCTGTCCAGAGAGGTCATGTTTTGATCCTCGGTTGGTCTCACGCAGTCAAGTAATGCGATTTCGCAGGTCACAGTTCACCAAGCTTGAACCTGCAAAACTTGACAAAAAAACTTGACCCTGCATTTCCGGTCTGACGCATTCTCGTGCGTATGAATGGAACTATGGGGAGACAAGTCCAATGTGACCGCAGCTGTAGTCCCTTTATTCATCAGGGGTCACCACAGCACAATAAACCGCCAACTATTCCAGCAAATGTTTTACACAGCCCTTCCAGTCACAACCCAGTAGCCTACTGGAATACGCTTTAAATTCACACACACACTCAACCACTAGCCTATGTCAAATGTAATTTATTCAATTCACTTATAGCTCATGTGTTTGGACTGTGGGGGAAACCCACACCAACACGGGAGAACATGCAAACTCCACACAAAAGTGCCAACTGTTAACTGTGAAGCAACCGCACTAACCACTAAGCCACGGTGTTGCCCATCTCTGAAAGTTTTACGGTTGATTTAAAATCAATTGGCTAAGTTTAACCACTGACTCAGTAGCATTTATCAGTTGTAAGTGTATGTTCTGCTGCAGTTTTATGATGAGTGCAATAAAAATATGTCCAAACTCTTATCTCACATCTCAGATAATGATTGT